ATAATAATTCATAGTTATTGAATAAATAGTATGTTACGAAGAATGATTAGCAAGCGGGGAAAAAACTCTTAACATGGGAGAAAAAACTCTCGCTCCTTAATATATAAAGTGCAGACAGGACCGGCCGGTATATGGCATTGTATAACGGATTTCATGAAGGGGTAAGTAGGCGGGTCAAGCAGGACCGGCCTGTATGTGGTCTTGACTAAAAGGTTTGAAACGGACATCATTAAGGCAGGGTTCGCATGCCGGTTGCAGCCATTCATGTCGAAGTGGCGAATCGAAAACCAGTCTCGAGATGATAGGAACCCAGATGCGATCGTTTACATTCAGCCGAGTTCAGCCGAGGAGGGGCAAGGGAGATGCGAACAGACTACTAATGTATGGCAAATACAGAAGGTTCCGCCAAGAGCGTTCATAGAGCGCATTCTGTAAGGGTACGATGCATAAACTGAAAAATCCAAGAATTAACATTTCTGATGAGGGATCTTAGAAAGCGATACCACTCACAAAGGAAGGAAATGTGAGCAGATACGGAAAGTTAATGGCGGCGTCCTAAATTACCGGTGGTCCTTTCACAATGTCATAGAGAATGTTGTCCAGAAAGGATGAGGAAAATAAAAGTGTAATTAAGTCAGAATTCAGGAAAGGCACTAAGAACAGAAGAAATTGCTCCGTAATGAGACATAAAAGTGTTAAGGTTATCGAGCAACCCTAGGTCTATTTTTTCATACGTACAATGGGTTTTAAGTGGGGTTTAGTTTCCTTCAAATTCTGATGAAGGGTTGCCCGAGGTTTCATGTCAAAAAAGCAAAACAAGACTTTAGTCCAATAATTTGTAGTGGTGATAGCTGCCGAAACTTGGGGGATATATGGATGAGGCTATGTATGTTGAAACAATTTCTGAAAGCTGTCAATATTAATGAACCAGACAGCAAAATTGATACTGAGCAATTTTTGCTCACTTACAGAATGTTTACTTGAAAAAACGGGTAGATACAAATTATGTGGGTAGCAAAGCAAAACTGTGAATAAATTTGTATTGAATAATGAGGCTAGGTATGATAAAACAGAGAACAGCGAAGTTTTCTTATTAGTCAATAAACCGACGATCAAAGCGGTCAGTGGGGATGGTTTGTCGTTTAAAATAGGATGTTATTCAAAACTTTACGAGGAAAGCCTTTTGCTTATGCGGATAAAACTTATAGGATTGAGGCTATGTTGGGTGAGAAACTGTGACACTATATTTCCGCTTTGTGGTTAATCAACAAAACACGACGGGAAGCTGAGATGACCTGTGACAAAAAATAGGAAATTTTGTCAGATCTACACGGGAAAACAGTGCAAAAGTCTAAGAAATCGAATTCAGAAATATGACTTTCGCTATTTTTATCAAAATCATGCTGCGCGGGTTGGACACCTGTGACCGTAATGAAATCGAAAATGTTCAGAGGGTTTTTACTCGGGAACATTCTTCTCGAGTTGCATAAGGTATTTCTTATACACAAAGATGTCAGCTGGAGAACATAAAATTTTTGTGGATTAGAAGACTCGAAGCTGGCCTTTGTTTCCTTTTCCGCGTTAACTCTAACTCCAAATTTCCGCGTATTGCCACTCAATCCAAGAGGTCGATTTTATGCCACGCGTAACTCCTCCATGGTGATTCCGCCGCCTCTTTGCACCAAACTCAAACGCTCTCTCTCTTTTTGCACTCAAATTTGCTTCCCTTTGGAGTAATTTTCCACCAAAACTTTGGTCGTTGCCTAAGTTATAGACATTTAAACCGTAATTGCGTAAGCACCTTACACCGGAAAGTATAAAGTCACTGTTGACGGTTTTATTCCGAACACCCAACTTCTTGACTTTAAGAAGGGTCCCCTGGGATTTAGTGTTAAATCAAATGGAAACCCCCATGTATATTTCTACAATCTGCTGTTTTTAATCAGCTACTAAATACACTGTTAATACTCATCCTTGCAGTGATAGTTTTTGGGGTTCTTAATGTCATTTCAATTCGACCCCAAGCGGTCTGTCGGCGCTTACGACGGAATCGTCTGTATTGGCCATCTACTACTAGTTCGGTCGATCTACAAAGGATCTCATAGTCGTATTTCCTTTATCCCTCCTCGTATGGACTCGAAGCGGACTGTAACCGATCGCGTCAGAGTTTCACTTGTCTCGTCACTTTGAAGCGAATAACCTTATCCTATGAATTCCGCATTGACGACGTCAGCATCAAATTCCTTACGCACTATCGAATGGAGGCCGCTCCTGTCTGACCGACATTCTGCTATACACTACAACATGCAGGCCGGTCCTGCCCACACTCTTATCCTTTCATTAGCGACGACTTCTTCTCCTTTAAATTTAATCCCATCACATCCATTTTGTTTATTAGGTAAAGAAGTTTTTCACTGCTCGCTCCTCCTTCTTCTGACATAACTGCTTATTCAAAAGGCGCGAACTGAATACATTAAAGATTCTGTCTACCTGTGCTAAAATTCACGTGAAACTTTATTTTTACTTGCCATGAAGGGACCCAAGTGTCGTCGACTGAAAAACCCACTTCGACTAGTTTTCCCAGCTCTCCATGGATGCTAGCAGGTTAGTAAGACGGGATCTATCCCTTCGAAATCCATGCTGATGTAAACTGAGCAAGTTATTTTCTTCAAGATGCCGTATCAGCTCCGTTTTCATTACCTTTTCAATCACTTTGCAACAGATGCTTGCGAGACCCACTGGTCTGAAACTATTTGGAACTGATTTCTCTCCACCTTCATAGTTCCTCCTTCTCCCGGAAATTTATGTTTCGCTCCAGTAATCGTTCCGCAAAATAGGAAAGCCTTACTCGAATGTGTATATTATCCTCTTTTTTACCCCCGAAATGAAAGCCAACACTGTGAACTCTTTGGAAAAGTTGCAGAGACTTCTTTCGATGCAAAGAACATTGTAGGGGATTTTAAATTGCCAGAAATTGACTAGCACACACATACCTCCTCTCCTAAATTCCAGAAGCTCCTAGACACCATTCACTTTTCAAACTTGTCTTAGTTTTGTCACTCTCCGACCAGAAACAATAGTGTATTGGATTTAATTCTTGTAACTGGAACTTTTCCTCTTTCTATGAATTTCTATCATGACATTTTGCGAACGATCATGCGTTAATTCATTGTCGCCTACCAGTTTCTACTTCCGCAAAGCTAACAGTGCAACGTAGCATTGTTGATTTTGATAATATTGACAAGGAATTAGTAAGTAATTTTGCAAGCACTCTTGATTGGCACTATATTTTTTCAAAAAATGATGTGAATTTTTTCAACAATTTATTACAATGCGTAACAGAAGGTCTTCCAGACCCCATTTCAAAGAAGACGTTAAAATCAAATGATACTTCCCTCGCTGTCCCACACTCTCTTAGAAACAGATTTTGAAGGCTACGGAAGTAACTTAAAGATCGTTCCGTGAGGTCAGTATCAGTCCAGCTAACAGTCGTTGAAATAATTAAATTAGTTTCGAAAATGAGGCTCCAGCGAGATAGACGGAGAGAGTCTTTAGCTATTAATGGTGTGAATACTTCTAAATTAGTTGCTCAGATCTTCCGTCAAAGATCACCTGCTAAATCCCACCAAGTCATTCCGACTTTGCCTAGTACCAGCGATACCTTCATTACAGAAAAGTCAGGCAAGGCAGACCTGTTGAATTCATACTTTGTCGAACAATTCACCAATGAGACTGACCCAATTCCTTTTATTCCTCCGTTGTCTGATGTCTCTCTCAGCAGCATTAATTTTTCTCCTGAAACTATTCAAAAACTCATAATCCATGTTCCTAACTCTCACTCAGTAGGCACGGACAATATCCCAAACTCTCATATAAAACGGCTTAGAGATTTTCCTCCTATGCTTAGCAAACTCTTTTCAGTATTTCTCGTAAATGGCTTCTTTCCTGACTATTGGAAAACTTCTATTATTATTCCAGTATTTAAGTCAGGCTGTCGTTTTGAGGTTCAGAACTATCGAGGTGCCCATAAAACACCTTCTCTCGCCAAAATCTTTGAAAAAATTATCACCTTGAAAATTACCGACTTTTGCATAGCCACTCAAGTTATTAGCTTTACCCAGCATGGTTTTTTTTACCAGATCGCTCTTATGAAACATGTCATCTGTCGCTGATTGTTGACATCTGGTGTAATTTTTCCTAAGTTTCCTTTTCAATCTTAGGTTCTTCTTTATTTCTGACGCCACCCACTCTGGTCGGGTAGTGTCCAGTTTCCTCCCATGTGGGTAACAGATCTCTACCGAGTTTTGCATTGCATCCTTGAGGGAGAGCCAGTCGCTTTCTAGGTCAGATGCTTGTGTAGCGTTCCAATTAATCTTCTGTAGCAGATTTTCCATTCGGAGATAATCCCTTTTCCATACATTTCTTTCCTCGACAAGTCGAATTTTGGGTGCAGAAAAATGACTATACTCCCAAACAAGAACGCAGTGTTCACTTCGACCAAGGGGCGTGTGTCAGTCCAAAGTGAGAGTGCAACTATCATCCACAGTGATGATGAGATCCAAACAATTTGGCTACTGTCAGACTCGGAATCGAGTGTTCACTTAAGCGTGTTGTATATGACATATGACCGTGGACCCGGGTTATGATTATACACCACAACCCATTCTTTTATCAACAGAGTTGAGGTTCGAGTTGAGGAATACTCATATTCGGCGAGGTCAGCTACTCCACAGAGCACTCAGAGAAAAGGAACTGTGCATCGGCCACAATGCAAAACAATTTATGGTGAGTCAGCAAGAACCACAGATGAACCAGCCTGTAACACTACGAACGACGACATCTACTCAGCTAAAACAGACACCTTCGTTGAACCACCTGATCAAGGCGCCAACACAAGTGAGCCCGTAGCGTCCAGTGATCTGAATGAAACAAGGCATGTAAATGGAACCAATCAGGTAACGGAAGAGCCTCGAGAACACGACGTCCGCGATAACGGAGTAATGGTCACAGCAGTAACAAATGCAACGGGAAATTTGGCTGGTGATAAACTGAGGTGCTTGTACACGAATGCCCAAAGCCTCATATCGGAACTAGACGAACTAAAACTTTGCCTTGCTGAGCTGTCTCCAGATGTTTTAGCAGTAACTGAGACCTGGCTGTCTGGGAATATTAGCGATAGCCAAGTAGCCTTGCCTGGATACCAAATTTATCGGAGGGACAGGGAACATCGTCAGGGTGGTGGTATCGTTGTGTATGTGAATGAAGGTATGGCAGTGTCGGATAACACCACCAAGTTTGCGTGCAGTACGGAAGCTATCTGGTTGATCATCAAGGCTACCGGTTCCCCGTGTCTCGATGTCCTCACTGTCTACCGACCACCTAGGACAGACCGAATCGCCGACATTCAACTATTGGAGCAGTTGGAGAAATTTTCCAGTCGACCTAACATCATGATCATGGGCGACTTCAACGCACCAGGAACAAACTGGAATACCCTCCAAGCGTCAAGTCCAAAATCGGCATTCGATTACCGCCTGTTGAGCAAAACATTAAATGCGTGCCTCATACAACATGTAATGTTTCCAACGAGAGCACGTGAAGGACAAAGGGCAAACTGCCTGGATCTGGTCTTTACGAAAACACCAGACAGCATAGACGAGATCGCCTCCATGCCGCCCCTTGGCCGAAGTGACCACGTAGTGCTTATGTGGGATTATTCGTTATTCTCCATTTCACATACTCCAGACCACAGAAGACTTAATGTTTGGCGGGGCGACTTCAATCAGATGAGGGCAGACTTATCCGGTCTTGACTGGGGCTCATTGTCTACGGGAAGTGCCAACGATGACTGGGAGCTGTTCAAGAATGTCCTTCTGCAGCTCATCAACAACCACTGCCCACTGACTAGTGTAAGACTGAACAAACGTCCTGGGTGGCTAAATAGCAACCTTAAGAAAGACATCAACAGGAAGCACAAATTGTGGAGAAAATACTGCGTCACTAGACAAGCTGAATGCTTCAACATCTACAAGACACACAGGAACAAACTAAAAAAGCTGATCATAAAGACACTGCGGGAATTCGAGAAGAACTTGCTACAAAAAGCGACGCAGAACACAAAATTGCTCTACAGCTACCTCCGACGAACTAAAAGGAACAGGCACCAAATCCCCTTGATAAAGACTACTGATGGCGTTGAGATCGCTGGTAGTAGGGATAAAGCTGCGTATTTTTCACGGTTTTTCCAATCAGTCTACACAAACGAGGCAAGGTTCCTTCCTCCCTCCACAGAAGAACCGCCGACTCCAAGCGTCAGCGATATACTTTTCTCAGAAGGCATTATCCGAAGAGAATTAGAGGCATTGAACGAATCGAAGTCGCCAGGACCAGACGAGATTCCATCCAAGCTTCTCAAGGAACTTGCCACTGAGCTTTCTGAGCCTTTGTCGATGCTCTTTCAAACGTCATTTGACACTGGAACACTTCCTAACTATTGGAAGCTGGCGCATATTACTCCGCTACACAAAGGAGGCAACAGGGCAGCGACGACAAATTACCGGCCCATAAGCTTGACATGCATTCTCTGCAAAGTTATGGAAAGGATCATGGAGAGTGAACTGATGCAATTCCTGGAAGTTCACGGCCTGCTATTGAAATGCCAACATGGGTATCGGAAAGGAAGGTTCTGCAAGAAAAACTTGCTACAATCTCTCCAGAGCTGCACCCGAGCTCTCGACGACAGGCACGCGGTCCACATAGCCTTCATCGACTTACAGAAGGCGTTCGACACTGTGCCACACCAAAGGCTCTTACATAAGCTGAAAAAAATAGGGATCGGTGGCAACTTCCTTAAATGGATCAAAAACTTCCTTGTGGGTCGACAGCAGGTTGTGTGCGTCGGTCGGGGAAAATCAGATCCGGCTATGGTCGATAGTGGTGTCCCCCAGGGTTCAGTTCTGGGACCCATTTTGTTCCTTATCTACGTGGACGATGCCGCAAGAGATGTAGACTGTGAAGTAGCAATGATTGCGGATGGCATGAAGATATGGATTGTAATTTGGGGTCCTGCCGACGATGACAGACTGCAAATAAACCGGAGTCGGTTGGAGGAGTGGTCAAGCAGTTGGCTCCTGCGGTCCAACGTTGCCAAATGTAGCATACTTCTCCTAGGCAACACAGCTAGATCCGCCAGCACAAGAGACTACTTTCTGGGCGGTGCAGCCCTACAAGAGGTCGAAGCCCAAAGGAACCTTGGTGTGCTTACGACGAGTTCCCTAAAACCATCCGCCCACTTTTCGAGAGTGGCAAAAAGCGCAATGTCCGTACTGTACGCCATCAAGCGTGCGTATATGGACTTTGACGAAGAAGCTTTCTCTAAGACATTCGGAACATTCGTCCTGCCGCATTTAGAGTACGGCATACAAGCTTGGAGGCCGTGGGCTGTTGAGGATCAAAACTGCCTCGAAAGAGTCCAGAGGAGGGCCACGAAGATGGTTAGGGGTCAAAGCTCCTTTCCTTATGCAACCCGCCTAGTAAATCTGAACCTCTTTCCTTTGAGTTACAGGCAACTTCGCGGAGATCTCTTGCAAGCCTTCCACATTGTAAAGGGGTTGGTTTGCAGTCTGGCCTTCGAAGACTTTTTTGAATTTGCTACCACGACCAACCTCCGAGGTCACCCGTAAAAAATGCACACTCAGCAGGCACGGCTGGTTGTGCGGAAGTTCTCCTGCTCGGTTCGGGTGGTCAAACCATGGAATGAGCTTCCCGCAGATGTTGTGATGTCACCATCTATACAAAGTTTTAAGAAGAATCTGCACATATATGTGTTCCGAAATGGCCAAGAGTGATGAGAAGTCGAGCCCACAGCCTGTAACTCCTTCTAATTTTGTCCCACCATTATGGGAGTGTTCGAACTATTTCAGCCCAGAACATCTATCTGTACACCACACATTTTTACGTTGCAAATAGGGTACGCAAAGGCTTACGCCTATTTCCCTCAATAAACTGAACGGAACCGAACTGATAACCCTATTGACAGGTAGACGTATGAAAAAAAACATGCAGATATTTACATAGCATTTATGCAAGTCATTGATATCATGTTAATGTTTGACCATCAAGCATAAGTTTATCTAGTATTCTTTTGAAAGTCTCGACGTTCTCCGCTAAGACAACGGAATACGGCAATTTGTTCCATCCCTCAACCAGCCGGTGAGAGAAGGATTTTGCCCGCAAATCGAGTCTGGCACGTTTCGTCTTCAATTTGTATGGGTGCCCTCGGAGATTTGTCGTCCGCGCCAGTGCGAAGAAGTCGTCAAACTGAAGAGCACAGTCTAGCCCTCTGACGATCCTGAAGGCCATGATCATGTCCCCTCTGTACTGTCTATAAGAGAGAGAACATATTTTTAACTTCTCCAGCCGTCTCTCATAAGGTAATCCACATAATCTGCCGACTAGCCTGGTCGCTCTACGTTATACGTTCTCCAGTAGGGTGTAATCTTTTTTCGTCCAGGGACACCATGCCTGGACCCAATATTTCAACATTGGTCGAACGTATGTGCCAAATACTCGGCCGAAAAGTTCTTCATCAAAATTAACGAAGGATCTTGTAATCGCGCCTAGAATACCCATAGCTTTCTTTGATACCTTGGCGCAGTGAGACGATGGTTTGAGAGTTGACGTCATCCACACACCGAGGTCTCTTAACTCGTTGACTGATTCGAGTTGGTGACCTCTTATAAAGTAGTGAGATTCAAATCTCAACGGCTTCCTGTTGCTCGAACGTAATCGGATAAGTTGGCATTTGTTACGATTGAGGTTAAGACACCACTCATCACACCATTTTTGCAAGCGATTTAAATTGTCTTGTAATTGTACAGAATCTTCCGGCTTCTCTATTGATTTCCACAATTTCAGATCGTCGCAAACATTACTCGGTCACAGTTCAGACGGCCCAGGCAGTCGTTCACATATATTAGGAACAGAATTGGACCCAGAACGCTTCCCTGCGGAACGCCACTGTGCACGGATGCCCATTCCGATTTAGCGTTTACGATACACACACACGCTGAGATCTGTCTTAAAGAAAATCGGCTAACCATTTCGGCGTCGACTAATAAGCCCATGTCAATTGATTTCGTTCAGCTCTCCTTGGATACTAGGACGTTGGTGGAACAGAATCGACCGCTTCGAAATCCATGCTGATGTAGACTGAGCAAGTTGTTTTCTTCGAGGTGCCACATCAGCTCCGTTTTTCTTACTCGTTCCATCAACGTGCAACAGATGCTAGTGAGACTCACTTGTCTGAAACTATTTGGGGCTGTTCTCTCGCCACATTTATAAATGGGGCTTATATTTGCTTTCTTCTGGTCGGCTGGCAAAGCCCCGGTCTCCATCGAAGTTTTGAAGATCTTGGATAACGGAGAGACCAGTTGGTCTGAGAGTTCATTCAGAACTTTTGCGAACACGCCGTCCAGATCAGGGGCTTAAGTGGTCTGTAGTTGCCTCAAAGTTTTCCAAACCGTTAGCCTTGCTCTTCCAAACGTCAGTTGCTACTGGGTGCCTACCTCCGGTAGAAAGTCTACTACCATCACTTCGTTTTTAAAGGTGGAAGTCGTGCGTCTGCGAATAACTACAGGCCAGTGAGTCTTGTCTCTATTTAATGCAAAACCATGGAGAAAATAATCAAGAAATCGTCGATGCCGTTCCTCGAACAGCATAGCCTCCTCTCCAATGCCCACCACGGTTTTCGAAGTGGTAGGTCCTGTCTCATTATTCCGTTCTTTTGACTTGAACATTGGACCAAGAGACGCGACAAAAGCTATAAGGTGCATATCATCTGCACTGACTTCGAAAAGGCTCTGGACAGCGTTCCTCAAAAATATCTTTTGCACAAAGTACGCAACGTAGGAATTAGTGGTAGCCTTCTTATATGGGTTCAGAGCTTTTCAATTTGACGGTCCCAAAGACTGCAGGTCGTGCGCTAACAATCCTCAGAGGTAACCGTGGTGAGTGGCGTTCCATAGAGTCCAGTCCATGGCCCCAACTTTTTCTTGTTTTCATCAATGGCTGCGTCAGGGACCTAGGCTGCGGTGACATCCTGTTCGCTGACCGTATACAACTGTTAAAAGTTGCTCAAAATGCAGGAGCCGGAGACCATCTGCAGACAAACTTGAAAAGAAGCCGACGAACTCGGCAATTCAGAATCCGAAAAAAACATATGCAACCACGGCTTCTTTAGCCATATCAAACGCTGAAACTGACGTCGGTTCGTCCAGGGAACTAGACACAGTTGAATGCCAGTCTCTTAGGCGAGAAAAAAACCAGCCGAAGCGAACTCAGATAACAAAGAAACATTCCAGAAAAACAACGCGCACCTCTATACGGTCCAAAAAAACGAAGGCCGCCTACGTACACGCAGACCAGCGAAGGAGAACGACCAGGAGGCCTACGAAGGACCGCCAGAGGCTCCCAAAT